ACAAGTCCCCAGTTTGTACCAACAAGTCCTCAGTTAGCACCAACAAGACTCCAAGTTGAATACAGGACTATTAAGTCTTTAGTCTGGACCACCTATTCCCAAATCTAGACCAACAAGTCCCACGTCTGCATCAACAAGCCCCCAAGTCCAAGTCAGGACCATCAAGTCCCCATGTTGATGTCTACAAATCCGATGTAAGGACCAGCAAGTCAGGACCAAGTCTGGATTGACAAGTCCTACATCTGGATCAACAAACCCCCAAGTTTAAGTCAAGACCACCAAGTCCCAAGTCAACGTCATCAAGTCAGAATAGCAGTTTAAGTTTAATCAGCAGCTGTACAGTTCAGACAGGAAACACAAACGCAGCATCCATATTCAAAATGAAACTTTATTAAGCGAACAGGAATGTCCAGGTGACGCTGCACACGGTGCAGACACACCTGTCGGCTCCTCCAAACCTTCTGATTCAAAAGACCTTCATGTCACTTCTGTCAGGTGTCCTCGGATGAGGACGGACAGTTTTAGTTTGGTCTAAACACTGGAACAGTCGACAGGAGCAGGTTGGACTGTGACCCCCCATCCTGCTCCCGCTGCACTGATAAGGTGTACTCGGTGGGGGCGGGGCTAAAGCTCAGGTAAACACAGAAAGGCACAGGGTGGAATGACATGAGGCTTGTTTATGGACAGAAAACCCGTGAGAAGGTCAGCGGGCGGCGACATGTTCAATCAATACAGATAACTTGAATACAGGCTGTTGTCTGGGGGCGGGGTTACTTTGTGGGCGGGGCTTGTTTGGTCATTTGTGCGACGGGGTTCAGAGTTCAGGAATGTTTCGTTGCATCACGACGGGGCGGGAACACGACAGTCTGCCGACGTCGGCGTTCGCAGCTCCTCCGGCTTCGGCGTGTTTGGCGTGGCCCCGCCCCCTGCTGGTGACATCACTCTACATGCCCATCCTGATGCTCTGGATGATCTGGAAGATGGCTGCCGACGCCACAGAAACAAAACAGGGAGTCAGAGAGACGGTAAAGGAAACACAAAGAACATCCTCAAACTTCATTTGATTGTGGATTATTTACAAATTATTTTCCTTTTTAACTTTTCAAATTTTTCTTCCTACTTTGAAATCTAAAGTCTTCAGCGTATTTTGTTGCTTCTTTTAATCTAAAATGTGCCTCATAAAAAAGGTTTAATTATTTTAATTGGCGCTGACAAAATTTCTTACTTCATTACTTTTCTGTAAACTAACAAACCGATGGTTGCAGCTTTGATCTAAACATTTCAGACACAGTGTTGAAGTTAAAAAGCTGCAGCCGGTTGGAGAGTCGCAGACATCAGCTCAGACTGTTGGACTTTCTGCTCCTCAGATAAACCTGTTTGAACACCTGATCCAGGTGTTTCATATCGATCAGTTCCTGACAGGTTGCACTGACACGAGGGCTGAGTGACATTTACGCTGAAGGACAGGCCCCGCCCACTTACAGTGACATCACAGGGGGCGTGGCTACATTCAGGTGATGCAACATTTATATCAAACTACTTACTTTCTTTTTCATTTTTGCCTTTTATACATTCACATTATTAATATTATTTATTTGTTTGTTGATTTTTTTTGTCTGGTAATATTATTATTATTATTTTAAATGATATTTAATTTTGTACTATTTTCCTTTGTTATTTTTAAAATCCATTTTTAATATTTTTATTTCATTTTATTCATCCATGTTTTTGCTCAATTTATGAATGAGCTGTTTTGTTTTTTTTTTCGTTTCAATTTGATTTAAATCAGAAACTGCATTGAAATACATGAAACATCTGTCAAATATATAAAAACTGTCTTTATTTAAAAAAAAACCAAAAAAAACAACAGATATGTGAATATTTAAAAGTGAAAACTTCAAAAAGAAAATGAAAATTATTAAAATGTTCTCAAAAGACACAAATCATCAAAATACTCCTAAAATATGAAGATTAAGATTTTAGTAATTATTAGAAAATGAAGAATTCTGAAACTTTTGTACAAAAAAAATCATCATGAAGTGAAAAATAAATAAGAACAAAGAGTTTAAAATAAACTTTTAACAGAGAAAATTCTGGATTTATTTAACTTTAAATGCAGTTTAGTGTAACTTTGATTTAAAGGTCAAACATCCAAACAGAGGAAGACTCACCTGATCCACAGACGACGAAGATGAAGAGGGCGAGCAGCCACGGACCGACTCCTTTGTCTTCAGTCATGTTCCTCTGAAACACCAATAATCACATTAATTGATCACAATCATTGATCACAGATTCACTCTGACTTTTTTTTGTTGTTATTTGATTTATTGGTTTAATTTCCTTTGAATTTGTGTGAAACCTGATTTAATGTTGAATATTTTTGTCGGCCTGTAAAACTCTGAGCTGCACAAAAGTGATCACGTATCAATAAAGTCTGATCGATCGAAGCGTTCTGTCGTTCCTCCTGGAACAGTTTCTGCACATTTGTGTCGGTTAGTGAACGTTATTGATCCGTTTCTGATCAGTTCACTCAGAAATACGTTTATAATTTCCTGCAGTAATGTCTCACAATCTGTTTTCACTTCATGATTATTGATTATTGATTGATGATCTGTGCTGTTCCTGCTGGATGTCTGTCTTCGTGTCCTGATAAAGTTTCTGTAAATTTCTGGAAAATCATAAATAACTGAATATTTAGATTTTTTTTTTAAACCTGTTTTCACCTCGTCGTTATTGATTATTTATTGTTGATTATTGGGAAAAAAAAATGTGACGTTGATCCAGTTACAATTAAATCTGAAAACTTTCTGAATCCACTGATTTAAACTTTCCTGACAATTGATTATTGGTTCATTGATCAGTTAGCTCAGTCTGTGATTTTGTGGGTATTGATGAGGATTCAATCAGACTGAGCTGATCGATCAGTGATTGATCAGTGATCGATCAGTGGGTTCAAATTAAGTTTTACGTTTTGAGTCTTTTGTCAAACATTTGTATAAACGTCTACAGAAGCTGTTTTCACTTATTGATTATTGGAAAAACTTGATGAGTAAATCTGGAAACTTTCTGAGAGTCTCACTTGATATTGATTATTGACTCATTGATCAGTGAACTGAGTCTCTTTTGATGTTTATAAACGTGATGAAACTGACCTGAGTGATCAGAACACCTACCAATCATGTGTATTGATCCAAATGTTAATTCTGATTCAAATGTGCAGCAGCTGATTGATCAGACTGATCAGCTCAAACCTTCTACAGATCGATTAGGACACATTGATCTACACATACAAACATTTTTTCAGTAATTAAACAGAAAGAAAAGATATGAAACCACTTTTTTTCCCCCAGTCTCCCAGTCTGACTCTGAGCTGGTTCTACTGGGACTCTACTGGTTTTTCCGGCTGGTCCAGACTCTCAGAGACTCGCGGCTCTGATGTGGTTTCTGATCAATCATCTGATCACAGAGTTTCAGTCGGTTTTCAATCATCTCCATCGATCAGCAGCAGCTGGACTCACCGTTGATTTGGCCACGTTTCCTCTCTGCGTGATGTTCTTGCTGTGCTTCTCGTTCGCCATGCGGATCCTCTGTTTGGCCACCATCTTGTCTGTTTCTTCTTCCTTCTGCCGTCGGATTTTTATTCGGTTTTGTTTGTTTGTTTGTTGCAGTTTGTTTGTCTCCGCTCGGTTCGCTCCGCTGCCTGTCGGTCTGGGACAAACTCCCGTTTGTCTACGTACTCAAAAAGCCCCAGCACCGCCCCCTTCCTGTCTCTGGCCCCGCCCCCAGAGTCAGCTGACCAGCGCGTCAAGCCGCAGCCCGCCACAACAAGATTTCCTGTATAAGCTTTCAAAATTAAATCCTCTGTTTTATTTTCTTGTGACCATGAGGAGAAACCTTTTGGTAACTCATAAAGATGACAAAAAGTTTACATTTATTTTTCAAGTATCGGAACTTTTATTTGCTGCAAATGTCTTAAGAAAATTTCAAAGGTCAAGTTAAGTCGCTGTTATTTGTGCAGCACATTTAAAACAACAGATGTTAATGGAAATGAGATTAGACATTTATATAACTGACAGCATTGAACGGTCTTAATTTAATAAATTAGTCAGTTAACTTTGTACAATATTCTAAGTTTGTACAAGGGAAACCATTGTAATGCTTAATATCAGTCATATTGAGATGACTTAACTAAATTTGTACAATACTATAAGTTCATATTACAAAAAACATAATTAAGTCTTAATATTTAAGATTGGTCAGATAATTCTTTATTAGATTTTATATGGTAAGATATTAGCCTAAATATCTAAACTTGTTTGGTGAGTTTCTAACATCAGTTTTTTTTTCTCAACTGGAAGCACTTTGGCTCAGTGTCTGTTGTTTAAAACGTGCTCTTTAAATAATGTTCACTTGGTTTGATCCTCTTACCTTTGTACTGCTAAATAAGTCGGATTCTGAATGTAGGACTTTATTTGTACCAGAGTGAAGAACGGGATCTGATTCTTCCATTATTTTGAAAACGGAAGTTCCGTCACTGTTATTTAACATCAGACAACTTGACGTAACTAAAAACTTAACTCTGGTTTCAAAGTTTGTAAAAATACAAGATCATCGTATTTATTGAAACACTTGTTGTTAGATTTAATAAAATAGTTAAATTATGTATTAAAATAATTTATTAAACTGATAACTGCGGTTTTTTAATCGACGTGTTTGATGACACGAGCCGTTGTTTGCTGATGTGGCGCTGAAAATCCCGCCTCTCTGCGTCGTGACGCACGTCCGGGAAGCGTCTTTCTTCTTCCGGCACACGCAAACATGGCGCCGGCGGTCCCCCTGTTAGCAGGTGAGTGATTTCACTTTTTATTAAACTCTTTTAACGTCGTGTTTTTAGTTATTTATAGCGACATGTCCCCGATAAACTCTGCAAACCCGCCGGAAGTGAAATAACTGCAGTTCAACTGCCAGAGACTGTTATTAAAGGTAGAATAAATCATCCACCAAACTCCATGAAAACTCTGACTAATTTCTAGCTCACATGATTCTGGAAAAAAATATAAACGCAGTAAATTAAAACTGTAGATTTTATTACCATCAGCAGAGTCTTTAGATTGATTCGGCACAAATAGAACCAACATGTTTTCATGCTTTCAGACAAATAATCTTCTTAAACTTGAACTCTCTGTCTCACATCAGCTCCCATCACAGGACTGTCAAAATCAGTGATGCTCCGGTTATATAGGATTAAAACTCACCTCTGTGACGGCTGTTTGAGACACTGTATGTGAGCCGGAGTGTAAAGTAAGACTGTCCGCTTCAAACGGTGCCTTCGGTATGTTTTCATGTGACGGTTTCTGCAGCCGTCAAACACGGATTGGTTAAATTAATCGATTTCTTAAAGGAGTTCTTGCAAGTCAGACAACTCTCATCACCTCCTACGGAACAGTTCAGGCCGGACAGTGAGAAACGACACGTGAAGAAAATTAAGAAATAAGTCATTTTCAAGATTCTTTCGAAAGAATTAACGAACGACTTTTACGATTTATTTATCTGCTGAATGAGAGTTGAAAGTTACTGGACTTAATGAAAAAATTAAAATATATTGAAAATAAATCAAAATCTTTAAAACATTCAAAAAAGCTGTAAAATTTAATAGCAATATAATAATAAAGATGTCAGATGAATGAATGAAATGTGCTAATGAGTAACGTCCAGAGTGTGTTTAAAATGTCATTACTATAAGTAGAGAATAAAACATGAAAAAGTGAAATAAAATTCCTCAAAAATATCAAAAAATAGTAAAAAAGTAAAATATTGAATTGAATTAAAAGAATTTTCATAACATTTCTGGGGAAAAAAATCTAAATCTAAAATGATATAATATAGCATGAAGAATATTAATTAAATAAATCGTTTTAATTACTAAACGTATGATAAATAACACGTCCTGAGGGTTGAGAATATTTTCCTTCTGTCGTGTTTGTGCTGCAGTTCGAGGCTCGGCCGGCACGTCTCTGCTCCGTGGACCTCCACAGTGTGAGCAGCACTCAGCCTTCAGCAGGTAACCACACCTGGACCAGCACCGCACACACACCTGTGTAAATAAACAAACAAACAAACAAACCCACCGTGTGTGTTTGTGTCTCAGTGACTGTGGAGTCTGCAGATGTGTGACCTTCAGCAAAGACGGGACGCTGTTGGCGTGGAGCAACAAAAACGGGTTCGTCTCTGATCTGTTTGTTCATAAATCACCTGAGAGAGGCTCACCTGTGGTCACACCTGACTCACCGTCTGTCTGTCTGTCTGTCTGTCTCTGTGAACGTCAGCGTCTCGGTGGTGAAGTCCTCCGACGGCTCCTCGGTGTCGACCTTCGACCTCCCAAAAACAGCCCTGATGGAGATCTCTCCTCTGAACAACGTCCTGGTTACCTGGCAACCGTACACCAGTAAGTGATGACACGTCGTAAACACGAGACGAAATGTTTAAAGAATGCCCGACAGAATAGAATAATAATAATATAATGTAATAAATATATTAAAATATGTATTTTAAATTATCCCAAAGTGTGTTATGATAAGACAAATGTCACTAAATAGAGAATAAAATATAAAAAAAATAACATAAGACACTGATTTAAAGGCAATTATGGAACGTTTTGACAAAAGTCATAAAACATTTTCAGAAAAGTTTCACTAAACATTTAGCTGTAGTAAACATAAAATACCAAAAAACTATTTTTATTAACGTCTGCAAAACGTTACTCGATATAAACGTTAATATTCTAAAAAATTAAATATCAAACAATCTGTGGAAATAATAATGAAACATCTGAACATGTTTCTAAAATATAAAATATCAAAAGTGTCATTAATGAATCAGGTGTTTTAATAAAAGTCTAAAAAATACGACTCAACAGAGAATTAAAACGTAAAAATAAAAATTAATTTTAGATTAATCTGTTATGTTTTATGTTATATTAAAATGACATAAAATATAAAACCCTCTGATGAAAGAATAAATGAAGTAAAAATGGCTGAAGTTGTCTTATAAAGAAAATAATTTTAAAAAATACAATTCCTGAAAAGCATCTGAAGTAGTAATAATATTAAAAAATCCTCAAACAATAAGACTTCTAGCTTCTTTCTTTTTTTTTTTAGAAAAATATAATTATACCATTAAAGTGTAAAACATGCAAAAGTTTCAATAAAGTATAAAAAAATGCGTTTTAGTCGTGTTTAAGCGGTTTTTAATGTTTATTTAAAAATTACAAAAATATTAAATATCCTAAAAAAACAATGAATTAAAAAAATATTTAGCATAAAATATAATAAATGTAATGCAGCAACTATAATAGAAAAAAAATGTGTGATGTAGGAAAAAAGTATTAAAACAAAAATCAGAAAAGTGAATTCTGATATGAAAATAAATGAATCCACCAAAACATCGATGAAATGTTTGATAAATAAAATCTGAGTTTAGACGGACTGAGATCAGCTGGATCCAAACCAGAAGATTAAACAAACAGAAAACAGAGCTGAGGCGTTTGTAAACACGTAAAGGTTTTCTGATTATTGATTATTGATTATTGATCTGGTGCAGAGACTCAGGACAGTCCTCAGGGCGAAGCCAACCTGCAGCTGTTTGACCTGCAGAGCGGCCAACTCATCAAAGCTCTGTATCAGAAGAAGGTCGACTCCTGGTCAGTCTGAGCTCCTCCTGCAGCCGCCCATCGATCGATCGATTGATTGATTGATTGATCGATTAGAGTGTCTAATGTGTGACTGTGTTCAGGTGTCCCAGCTGGTCTGAAGACGAGAAGATCTGTGCGAGGATCGTCAACAACGAGCTGCACTTCTACGAGAACAACGACTTCAGTGAGTCGGCAGAAAGCAGTTTGTGCTGAGTCACAGTTGGTCCTGTTCGAGTCCGATCGGTTTAATCTCCGCTCTGGTGTCGTCTCTCGTTTCAGACTCCATCGCCAACAAGCTGCACATGCAGAAAGTGTCCGACTTCGCTCTGTCGCCTGGAGGTCAGCCGAGCAAGGTGAGCAGCACGGGGGGCTGGGAGGGGTCCAGAACGAGTCAGGACCGGTTCTGAGTCACTAACAATCCCTATGAAAGACTTACATCTGTCCAAAAGGTCTTAAAAATGATTAAAGAGAACTCAGAGTTTCTCCACATGACTGAAGGGTTTTATGCAAATGTGTCTAAAACGACTCGTTTAGTTTTGTCCTAAATGACTTAAAAAATGTTAAAAATGACTAAAACCAGATTAAAATGACACATTTGTCTAAAACAATCATCTAAAGTGTTTTAAAATTGTTCAAAGTCACTTCACAAATTGTTCAAATTGACTGAAAGTTTTCCAAAATGATTCAAATTGATCTAAAATGGATCAGAACGTTTGCTCAGAGTGACTAAATGTGGTCCAAAATGAGTCAGAATCGGTTCTGAATGACTTCCACAATTGTCAAATGACTCAGATCTGTCTAAAATATCTAGAAACTGTTAAAACAAACTCGAACCGTGTCCTAAATGACGGAAGTGTATTCAAAAATGACTTAAATTTGTCCAAAATTACTAAAAAATGTTCTAAAATGACCCAGAAATCTTTGAAAAATGATTAAAAGTTTCCACAGATGGTATATATTATTACATATTTCTCTAAAATGGCTCATAATTGGTTTTAAATGACTCACAAATTATTCAAAGTAACTTAGAAAATATCTAAAATGGCAAAAAACAGCTAAACATGTCTTGAATTTGTCCCAAATTACTTTACAAATCTCTAAAACTGAGCCATAAATGGTTAAAAATGACTTAAAATATGTCTGAAATGACTAAAATATTTCAAGACGTCTGAGTTTATGACCAGAGCTAACTGGGATGTTACTGGACCGTCTCCAGGTGGCCGTCTACGTCCCCGGCACCAAAGGCGCTCCGTCCTTCGTCCGTCTCTACCAGTACCCGGTCCTCGGAGGTCCGACTGCTGCTCTGGCCAACAAGAGCTTCTTCAAGGCCGACAAGGCGACGATGCAGTGGAACAAGAAAGGTGAGGCCACCTGGACGAGAGGCTCGGTCCTCAGTGATCAAACGTGACAGCAGTTTTTCAAAATAAAAGACTTTTGCTTTGTACCTGTTTTCCCTAAATGGAGGTTAGTGTTTCCCCTTCATCCTCCTGTCATAATCAATAACCAATAATCAATAACGGTGATGCCGTGTGTCTGCAGCGTCGGCGGTTCTGGTGACGGCCAGCACCGAGGTGGACAAAACCGGAGCGTCTTACTACGGCGAGCAGACGCTTCACTATCTGGCCGTGAACGGGGAGACGGCGCTGGTCCAGCTGGGTGAGCATCAGCTCCGTCAGGACGGTTCTGACACTGTCTGTTGTTTATTGATGACATAGTCTGAAGCCCAGAATCAGAACCGGTGGTGTCTTTGGGTCTCCCCAGCCAAGGGCGGTCCGATCTACGACGTGGCCTGGAGCCCGAGCTCCTCCGAGTTCTGCGTGGTGTACGGGTTCATGCCGGCCAAGGCCACCGTCTTCAACCTCAAGTGTGACCCAGTGTTCGACTTCGGAACCGGACCCAGAAACGCTGCCTACTACAGGTGAGGACGACCCGGTTCTGGACTCGTTAAAGGATCGTTTCCGTTTCCTGATAACGTGTCGGTTGAGTTTCAGGTTAGATTGTTTTTTTTGTTTCGGTCCAACTCAGTAGAAGCTCAGAACTTCTCCTGGATCAGATCCAGAAGCTCCGACCCGATCGCCGATGAGCTTCAAGGCATTTTGGACACGTTTGGTTTGTTCTGGATCAATTTTGAGATGTTTTTTTGTTTAACAAACTTGAAACCATTTTGGACTCGGTTTTGTCGTTTCTAATAAAACATC